TACACAAAACAAATTCTAAATAAATTCCTGAATCCTCATTAGTATTAACAAAGCTTAAGCTCAAAAGCTAGCAAAACGTTCTGTAGTATTTGAGATAGCCACTGCTTTGTCTGTAATTACTATTTCCAGAATCACACATATTATAATAAAGAAAATCATGCATCTGCAAAAGTTTGTGCATACATTGCTTGCAAAATGTCAGAACCTAAAAATTTACTATATATAATAGCTAGTACTCCAGAAATAGATAGTAAATTAAGTAAGTTGAATTAAATTAATACATTAAAACAATTAAGACTAAAAGCTACTCAAGACTACATTCATTTTATGATTCCCAATTTTAAAGCATATTGTTATGATTTATGGCATTTGTGTGTCAAATGTCTGGATGATGGAACTTAGCAGATTATGATCTATATATAAAGGAGAAAAGCAACTCATTCATCATGATATCTCCGAAGCTATTATACACATACGGGCTTGAAATTCGGTTAGTCTGTTCCTACCCTGGAGTAGAAATCCGCTACAAAAGAGATTTGCGGAAATCGACCTCCAATGGGCGTTGCAGGTGCTTAAGGGGCGTTATATATAATTATTTTCGTTTTAAACTATTAGACTTACAGACTTGAAATTTGATAGGCAGATTCCTTTCATGAAGTAGAGATTCTCAACAAAATGGATTTGTAAAAATGGAACCCAAAGAGTGTTGCAAAGGCTTAAGAGTCTTTAGTGATAAATTTTGATTTATTAGACGTAAGATGTGAAATTTGGTAGGCATGTTCTTTTCATGAAGTAGAGTTGCATTACAAAATAGGTTTTGGGAAAACCGACCTTCAAAGGTCGTTGCGGGGTCTTCAGGGGCGTTATAAGCAAATATATACGTTTTTGAAATGTTAGAAGTACAGACTAGAAATTTGGTGTAGGCACGTTCCTCTAACGGAGTAGAGGTCCACTATAAAAGGGATTATGCAAAAATTGACCCCAAGGGGCGTTATAGTTAAAAATTTCAGTTTTTAAACTATTGTACGAACATACTTGAAATTTGGTAGGCATAAGATTCCTTTCATGAAGTAGAGATCCGCTACAAAATGGGTTTTGTGAAAATCGACCCCCAAGGGGCGTTGCGGTATCTCAAGGAGCGTTATAGATAAATATTTCTGCTTTTAAACTATTATATTTAGAGTTGTGAAATTTAATAGGCATGCTCCTTTCATGGAGAAGACATCCGATGAAAAATGGATTTTGTGAAAATTGACCTCCAAGAGTCGTTGCTGGGTCTTAAGGAGCGTTATAGACAAATATATCTATTTTTGAAGTAGTAGACGTACAGACTTGAAATTTGGTAGGCAAGTTCCTTTCATGGAGTAGAGGTCCACTACAAAAGGGATTACGCAAAAATTGACTCTCAAGAGGCGTTATAGGTAATTACTCCCTTTTTAAACTATTGGACGTACATTCTTGAAATTTGGTAAGCAGATTCCTTTCATGGAATAGAGTTCCTCTAACAAAGAATTTTGCAAAATTCGACCACAAGGGGGATGCGAGGGGCCAAGGTAGTTAAGGAAAAATATTCCTTTTTTTGAATTGTTAGACCCACATACTTGAATAGATACTCTGATAGCGTTCGCGATCATGATTGACATGCTCAAATCAATATTTTTTTTAAAATTATATTTGAATATAATTTCATCATATTTTTTTCATTTTTTGTAAAATTGAAAACTATCGAAGATGTCTGTATTACTGTGGCTCAATGCAAGAACAACCCTTGTGAAAATTTTATAATGTTGTGAATTTAAATTTCAACTTCATGAAAGAAATTCTGTAACCTTTAATACCATAAGTACTTTATTCTAAAATTGCATGTTTACAATAATTATTAAAATTGATTATGGTTGTCCTTGCATACAAAAGTCATTTCGATGATAAAAGCTAAATTCTTTCAGTATTTTTTCCTCCGCATTTATATAAATACGAGCCCTAGAAATATCCTTTATTAGTAACCTTATCCACAATAATAATAATAACAATAATAATAACAATATGCAATTGTTTCTTTTTTCTTCAGCAGTTGAACAAAAGCCACCAGAAACAATTTTATGCACAAAACTCTTGCAAGATATCACTTGATTTGGAATAATGCTTTCTTAAACAGGAAAACAATTTATGATTTCTTATATTTACACTTCCTCATTCTCATTTTGTCCAAATGTGTTTATGTATAATGGCAAAAAATGAATAATAATAAATAAATAAATAAATAATAATAATAATAATAATAATAAATAATAATAATAAATAAATAAATAAATATAAACAAGTAAAAATAAAACTACTTCTATATCTGACTCAGTAAAAAGATACAAATCCATCTTCGTACATCTGAGAAATTTATACTCTTGGTGATAACAATTTTTACTCTGAAAGAAATTATCGTAATCAGTCTGATACTTTCTATATCTGTTGAAAGTGAAAATATTAGTCATTTGATCTATGTAGAGTACATTCATCCACTTCTGTTATTGTCTTTAAAACCGTTCTTTCACATGTAGCATTTATTTTGCTACTTGACTCAGTTATAATTTTAAACGTAGAAGTATTCAAGTGAATAACTGATTCAGTACTGCTGTGATGTCCTTCTTTGTTCGGAAGAAAGATCCAGTTTTAAGAGATAAAAACACAAGGAAGAAAACAGAACATGTAATGTATTTAAAGCAGGAGAAAGAGGGAGAGGATTTTATTCTTCAATATAGTTTTAAAAGTTATTGAGTCTTTTAATCGTTATTGAATCTGAACCATCATTCTCGAAAACACGGGAGTTAACTTATAGTATAATAAATTACCAAATGAGTTTTTATTCACATTTCAGAAGCCTTTTTTCAAAAATATTTTACAAATTCTTCATGTTTTCGATAATATGAATATTTTTTCCTTCAGTTTCCATTCAGATTGTTCTTGTAATTAGAGCTTTATTTCCAGTGGCTTCCTTTCTTTTTTAATATATTCGCATAACTTAAAACTTTACGTTTATAAAATGTTTATCATGGAAATATTGCAAAAAAGCAAAGGAACATTTATCTATCTTTGTCTATGTATATCCATATGAAACATTTTGCCGAGAAAGTAAAATGATGATGATGTGTGTCGGGTCAGTATTGATGGGGAGCTTGTAGTTTTTACGTCTTCATTTATATTTATTTAAGTAGAAAGCACACTCAGAGAAATATAGAGCGTATATCACACACAACGCAATACAAGACAAACACACGTTGTTTATATGACGGTTAGAAGAAACAACTTAACTCTTTTCAGAAGTTTAGTCTATTTATACCAATAGAGAACCAGAAGTTTTTAACACCATATGACTTCTGTTAAAGGCCCTCTTGGTTGGTACAAATAATCGGATGATGCTGTTTACACATAAATCTTAATTTAAAAACGCCGACTCTTAGTTTTGCAGACATAATGTTATGATTAAACTCCGTTAGGCTGGTTAAGTAGAAATTGGTTATTACGTGAAATCCTGGAGGTCTCAGGACCTCTCTCTTTATGGATTAAGAAGCCTTCAAGATCAGATTAACACGTGAATTACGCGCGCGCACACACACACACAAAGAAAAATATGCTTTCTTTAACAATTTTTTACTTAAATAACCAAAACGGTATAAATATTCTAGTTAAGTATAGCTGATATGTACATAAAACCAATCATATTTAAGTCAGTATCGGATAGGTGAACAAAAAAATGTTTTACCAAGAATTTAATTTGTTAAAAGAAATCGACATAATCCTTACTTGGAGCTTTTTCTTTATTATTTTAACGCATTTTTTTTATAGATGTTTTTAAAATTAATAAAGAAGTTTTTTATTTATCATTCAAGCAATCTTCAATTTTATTTTTTGTATCCGAAAAAGTTGCTTTCCTAAAATAATTTTATTTGATGTTTGTAAGTCAAAAAGCAGCAATAAAATCAAATAAATTTAAAAAAAAAATTTAAGTAAGTGAAATGAAAATAGCACCCTCATGGTTAAGTTATTAAACATTTTTATTTAGAGTTTCAATTTATAATGATTGCAAATACTTATCAAGAAAAAAAAATCTCGGTACAAATAAATTAACAATGTTGATTGTGACAAAAGTAAAAATATTTTGACAAATGAAATTTCAAATTAAGCATAGCATTTTTATATCTATTGGAAATATAGCATACATTAATTCTTGTTTTTTTTTATTATTTCGGGGGTACATTTTCTATTGAAAAAATATTCTAAACCAAACTTAACATATTCCACTTGAAAGCTTGCTGTAAAACACAACTAATGTTTTACACTTAATACTTTAATAACTAAGAATATCTCACTCAGATTTGTTATCTTTTTGTGAGCGTAACACAGTCTGTAAAAACAAAGCTCCATTATGTTCTATAAAAACACTACATGTTGTCAGTCGAAGGACAACCAGTTGTTACCCACACCTTCTCATGGATATGACTCAGAATGATTCACTGAAATGAGAATATTTTCTTTACAAATTGAGAAGAAATATTTCTAATGAAAACAGAAATATCGAATGTTGATTCCGAGAAAGAAAATATTTTACATACTATCACAGGACACAGTTCAGTATTAGAGAACTTCTTTATTATAATATAATTTAAGGGGACACAGCACAATTCAATTGATAACAAGTAATATAAAACAAAAAATTTTAAGTCGATTTCTACTTAGTTCAACAGAGAAAATTTTTATTTTAGTTACTTTTCGTTAAATAATTACAATTAATATAAATATGTATATGCATATGACAAAATTCCAATATTGTGCGCAGAATCACAAAATAGAAAGCGATTTTCTTTGCAACTCTCTCTCTCTTCTCTCTTTCCATTTTCTTTTCTATATATGATGTTGGACTATTATTATGTTTGTGTTACTATTTATTCATTTTAATTATTCCAATTAAACATTATAGTAAAATAAAACCATATTTTCAGAAATTGGGCCATCCCAGGTGGGATTCGAATCCACGAAGATTGGATTAGAAGTCCAGTGCGCTACCCATTGCGCCACAGGACACAATACGAGCGACTTTCCTTTTTATATATGGTGTTGGACTATTATTTTTTTGTTACTATTTATTCATTAATTAAATAGAATTAATGAATTAATATTTGAAAAAACTGTACGAACATCGAGTGTCAGCCACTACAAGTTTTAAAAAGGATATTTGAACTTGAGTGGATGAATAAAAGGTATTTTATTAACGATTGAAAATTTGAATACAATGTATATATATATGTAGGAGATGTAACTTATAGTAGGAATTGAAAAATTGGTCAAAAGATCAAGTATAATATTTTTAGCCTAAATTGTTCTTTATATATCTTTCTACAATCTAATAAAATTTGAAAGCTCTAAGTGTAAAAAAAAATCTAGATATATGATAACTTTTATGTTCATTTTTATTCAAATCCCAATGGCAAGCAAAAACTTTAATCTGATTTATCTTAGTAAGAAAAATTAAGTAGTTTGTCTTCATTTAAAATGCTAGGGCGTTTTTTCTATTGTGTCAAATGCTTCAATATTTTTTCGAACTATTGCCATTAATACAAGTAATAAAAGTTAGTATACATTTTTGAATCAACTTACTTTTTTTTAAAAAAAATATTTAAATTTAGAATTTATACATTTTTTAAGGAGTTTTCAATAAGCATTCATAAAAAAAGGTATTTTATGAATATCAATCATGTTATTACAAAACCCATAAATTTTTTCTTATATATAGTTTGATGTACATGTAAATCAAATGTCATTTACACATGTCAATTATTGCAGGAGGAATAGTATTTTGGAATAATTTCATAAATTTTAAGATTTTAATTTTCTTATTTTGAGCACAAAAACTGTTTTACATAATGCATATACAAAGGGAGCAACCAAAAAAATTTTGAAAACCATTAAGTAAAAGAACTTTGTATAAATCGATCGTACCATGTTCTCTTAAATCACAAAATATGTCTGATTGTAAAAATGCCATAAAAGACCTAATAACTTTCTTAACTAAAAAAAATATGGATAATTTAGACTATATTAACACTTAATAGTTATTTTCGAAAATAAGACGAGCATTTTAAGTGGAGTATGATAATGAAAACAAGTGATTGATGCAGTCAGTCTCATGTAAAAGCAAAAAACTTCATCATCATTGGAATTTTAAATCTTGCCTAATTTTTCCTTTCTGAATTTCTAAGGAACTGAAATGAAATAATTGGCAATAATGAATGAATTATTTTAATTATTTAAGGCAAGTGTAATATACGAATTTTTTAATTTAAGAATACAAATTAACACATTTTTTAAATAATAAATGAAATGTTATAATTAGAATTAATAAAAAATATTAATTAAGAAACTTTCAAGCATTTAATTAGGCTTAAACTGATAAATTTGAAACACCTTCTCTACTTAAGTTTGTGACGGGCTCATCGCGATTTCAATTAATTGTCCTCTTGGGTTTCTTTGGGGCCAGAATGGCAATTCTTTCCAACCAACTAGAGAAAAGAAGCGTGAATATTCAAATTAGGAATCTTCTAAATAGTAGGTTTAGCATACGCTGGGTAGCTATGAGAAGTAAATATACGAGGTCTATGTTTATGACTAAACGCTATTAAGTTAAAGTGAGAGGAAATCCCGAGTTCAAGATTTAATCTATCCGTACCTGTGCGATCAAGTCAAAGGTGGATACCATTCCACAAGGATAAAAGCCTCGTCAGTTAGAATAAAGCGAATTGCTGTTTACCCAAGATATAGCGGTAAGACTGTTATTAAGAAAAACGATATGGCTGCTTCTTCGTTCCTTCCCACAGATCTAGGTCGTGAGGATAATGTAGAAGTGGGGCACCCCCGACCGGGTGCCTTACAAGTTTCTTCTTTATTTATAACTTAATATAATTCCATTAAAAAATAAAATAACTATTTATCTTTAAATATACGATTAAAAATATCTCAGGTACATAAATGGATTTATTGCTTAATTCTTAACATTGTGTATCGTAATAAAATAAAAATCAATTCTCCTCAGAGACTAAATGGTTACTCATGCATTTTGTAAGGCTTTCTGCAATTTTCAATTTATTCAAATGAATAACACAAAGCAAGTTGTTGTTACAGATTGCAACAATTGAACAAAACTAATTCCCTTTCAAAAGCTTTGTTAATATTTACCTAGCTATTGAACAGCACTCTAAAATTGCACGGATAGGTAGAAACTGTACTGTGAATTGAAAATTATTATTGTGTTTATGAAATCACTTAGGTAATCCTGTAGTAATGTTATTCTCCATTCAAATAAAGGAATGGAACAAATGCTCTAGCTTCCAATTTCTATCATTCAAATTCAGTGAATTTGCTTCTTTGTAAGACTTTATCCAGGGAATATAATTCGAACTAATTATTGAAATTCTCTACTTTTACAGTAGAAGTTACTTAAATTAAGAGCGAAAATAATGTAACAATAACTATCATTGACGAAAAATATGATAGCTAAAATTGATTTATTGCAAATATTTTAAATGTAGCATAACATATATATATATATATATATATATATATATTAACTGCTATGATTCATTACTACTAAAGAATCGCAACTAAACTAAAGAAAGATGATATTTTTTGAGCTGTGAAGTTTTGGAATTTCAAAAATGTAACGTCTTTAAATGATAATTAGGAAATTATAAAAAACAAACAAACATATAACTTATAAGTGAAACTGGCATAGATTAAAAAAATATGATTTTATTGATTTTCTATAATTTTTTTTTATTTATAACTCATTTTCTCACTCTTTCAGAAATAATTTATTTATATTCAGAGACATATAATATAACTAATTTTTAACACGCCTTTATAAGTTTCTCTTGTATGTAACGAAATCTTTGAACTCGATTTTTACCCACTTTAAAAGGTCAGATTAATTCGAAATTTTGCACACTTGTAAAGGACCGATGACAATACAATAATTTCATAATTTTGTTTCATTGTCCTGATCAAGATAATCAGAAATAAGTATTTTAGATTTGGGGATTAATTCATTATACCACTTCCAGTTTTGTCGATTTATTGCATATATCATTTTCAGATTTGGCGACTATTTCCACATGCCATTTCCAGATTTAGCGACTAAAAGATTAAGGAGCAACACTAAAAGTGAATAGGCTTGTGGTTAATACAAATAAAACACACAAAATAAAAGTAGTCTTTATGTGAGAAAGAGCAGGCAGGGTGCGTCAGCAATTTCTAACCCTAATATAAACATTTGTTTAGTTTTTCTGAAAATGGAAATAAAAAAAATACTCGTGCATGTGAAAAAAAAAATATGTTCTAACTGCTAAATATTTTTTAAATTTTTATAAAGCAATACGTTTAGAAGTGATGATACTAATTAACATTATTACAATACTTTTAATGGTGATAATACGATTGATACATTTAATATTTCTTCTGAACAAACTTTTAGTAGTTTGACCTGTATCTAGTTAGTTTGACCTGAATCTTTGAAACATAACGATACAGGACTCATCTGAGGCCCCATAAACGGAGATAATAAATACCCTTCAGACCCGTTAATTAATATCCATTGAGGAGCAAGACTAATTCCAGCCACACAGCCACGTAATTCTGGCTCCAAATATCAAACTCAAAGACAAGTTTAACAATGAATAAATGGTAGTTTAAAAAACTAAGAAAACACGCTTTTATTGTAGATCGAACTAAAAAATAAAATATATATATATATATAAATTATAGTTTAAAAAAAAATTAAAAACCCGCTTTTATGGTGAATCAAACTAAAAAATGAAAAAATAATTCTTAGTATAAGAATAAAATGATTAACGAGAAAATTAATGTCATTGGGATAAAAGCGTGAGGTGCTCTATACACCCCATGCTTTTACCACAGTGACATCTCAATTTTCTCGTTAATCGTTTTATTCATATACTAAGAAATATTTTTTTACTTTTTAGTTCGATTCACTATAAAAACGTGTTTTTTAGTTTTTTTTAAACTATAATTTATTTAAAAATAATTTAGTGAACTGATTTGTGTATCTTTTAAAATCTTTACAACTACGATTAAGTTTAAAGTTTAAGTTTAAAGCTTAAGTTTTAAGCTTAAGTTTACTTAAAGTTGAATTTTTCTCTTAAAAAGCATAAAATGACCTATATTAATCTAAAACAATAACTAAATAGAACATGCCCATCACAGTTACTTCCTCTAATTATAGTTTTTTAATTCTAAAACATCAAATTGTCAAACGCTCAGAAATGTATTTGTTTGTAAAATAAACTAAAATTATACAAAGGTCTTCATTGACCACAACTAGAGTAAATTGTACAAGATATCTTTTTTCACATGCTGACGCACTTTAGTATGATCTTTTTAATTATGGAATTTTTGTACTGTTACCATCAAAATTATTATTTTTCGAAGATTTATAATATAGAGAGATCAGGTTTTCACTTATTTTGATTTTCTCATTTGATGTGGTATTTTATTCTATTTTCGCTATTCGTTGTATTTCTTCCAGTGACCTTTCTGCTTAGCTAAAGTTGAAGCTAACTCTTTTTTTACCTTCCAATCTAATAATTTGTAAATTTAATATTAAAATGAAATAACAGTCAACATTTATTTATTATCCCGGTTTTCATAAATGCGAAACTTTACAAACTCTGAAGCTACTTGAGTTAGTTAAAAATAAATCTTAGAATATCCAGATCAAAATTATAGATTGAAATAATGAATAAAGAAAACAATATATAGTTTTAGCCCACCACCAGTTTAAACAAAATCCTTCTGTTAGATTAAATTACTAAATTTATATGATGTAATAACGGTATAAAATTTTAAAAAAAATGTTTTTAGAAGTGATTATCTTACAATTTTTAAGGGAAGGTCTGAAGGGGTTAAGGTCTGAAAGAAGTAAATTTTTGAATTACTGCAAAGCTTTTTTAATAATAGTTTTCTTTCTGTCCTTTTTTCGATATTGCGGATGAAAAGTAACTAATTGCTTAAT